AAACATGATTTACTCTAATCATCAGTGGTGATACCCTATTCTTCCTCAGTTCCCTCTGAATTTTACAAATTAATTGCCGGGCTGAGAAGTTTTACTGAGAGCTTGAAGGAGAGAATTCCTAAATATACTACTAAAATCACCTCTGTCTGGTTTCTTGTCTTTTCCTACCAAAGCCTTCCACTGACCGAACTGGGAATATTGCTGCCAGCAACACTGACTATGTTGTACTGACAGTAAGCAAGGATTACCTCTTCAGAGAAACTATAAGTGCTACAGCTGATGGATTTTCTACTGGTTTGTCTCCACTAAAATGATGTGTTACCAACAAGAAACTCACTCTAGCTATATCAGCTAGCAGAGCAGCTAGAAGAGAGGCTTTCGCAAGCACTATCCACCAGTGGGGTGAAGGTAACTAACTGGGGTCATACTTGCTCTCAAACTCAGACCCATGTGGAAGATGACCCAGTGAGGACCTAACACCCCTGTGGCATCTACTTTCCCTGCTGTGGGCTGATAAGGGTGTGCTGCAAGGAGCAACCCAACAAGACAGACAACATAGAAGCAGTGAAAGAAGTTTAAATAGAAATTTTGGAGACTGACTCTACCCTCTGTGTTTGACAAGTCTCATGTTCTTTGGGCTGACAGGCTGTTCATTGGAATCCCTTCCTCCCGTGTCTTCCTGCAGCCTCCTGACCTCAGCCTCAAGCCTTATATGCACATCAGCATCTCACTAGTCCCCTCTTTAACAGCAAAAAGTGGTGCTGCTCTCAGGTACCACTGTGCATTGCTTTTGTCTGATGTAACCACAGCCCTATAGTATATGGCAAACCTAAGCAGGACTGCAAACTGTATGGCATGCAGGGGAGGGCTATTTATTATTCTGTGATGCCACAACTCTTTCTCCACAGGGACTGCTCTGTGGCTGTTTCCTCGGCACTGCTGTCATAAGTAGGATTAATACTGATTAGATGACCGACAGAATAATCATTTGCTGTTTACATATTTAACATTTGAGGCACACAAAATGCAAAACCTCTCTGCACTTCTGTATTTTTTCTGGAATGGAAGGATACAGGCTCTTCAGGAAGGAGAGGCCGGGAATATGAGGAGGGGGTGTTGCCCTCTATGTCAACAACCAGCTGGAGTGTATGGAGCTCCACCTGGAGACAGATGAGGAGCTAACCAAGAGTTTATGGGTCAGGATTAAAGGGAAGGCAGGGAAAGGGGATGTTACTGTGGGGGTCTGCTACAGGCCGCCAGACCAGGGAGACCCAGCGGATGAGGCCCTCTACAGGCAGATAGGAGCAGCCTCATGTTCACAAGCCCTGGTCCTCACAGGGAACTTCAACCACCCCAGTATCTGTTGGAGGGACAACACAGCAGGACTTAGGCAATCCAGGTGGTTCCTGGAATGCGTGGAGGACAATTCCCTTCTCCAAGTGGTTGAGGAACCAACGAGGAGGGGTGCCATGCTGGACCCTGTTCTCATCAACAAGGAGGGGCTGGTGGAGAATGTGAAGCTCTGGAGCAGCCTTGGCTGTAGTGACCATGAAATGGT